GTACAAAGTTTTATGGTAAAACGTTTAAGAAACAAGTAATGTCCAAATATCATATGTATGTATATTCTGTCAAGTGTTTTTGCATTGGGCCTCTCTTTTTAGGGACCTCTTGTCTGCTTTTCGAAATAACATTGTCAGCATTCAAAGATATTCGATGTTTAGTACTATCCAATTTAACTGTGTAGCTCAGGATCATGGAAAGTGAACTTGTCAACATAAAATGCAAATGTTGCTTTGTTTGAATTGTTTGCACCAATCACGCGTGGGAAAATTGATAGATTTCAATGACAATTGACAAATACACATTCTTTACATGTATTCAATCTCAAAAAATTACCTAATTTCTCTTAGCGTACTGTTCAAATATGATTGTCAGATGGCAAAACAACCAAAGAATATCCTCTTGGTGTGCCAACATATTCTTACTAGAAACATAAAGAAGGGCTGTATCAACAATTAAAACTAGAATTCATACCTGAATCAGTGAGGGTTCTTTTTTTCGTCACAGTCTATGAAACGATATGTTGTAAAAGGGACTGGCATTATAGTTAGCCTACGTGTTGCATTTTCTTTATGTCAAAGACAACAAAAGTTTGAAGAGGTTTTTTAATCAAAGTAACATATAAATAAGCTTTACTAGACACCAGCCGAGCAAACTCTCTAATCCTAAAGATATAGCAGGCAATGGTTCACCCTTCAGAGTTCTCTATTGTCTTAGTAAGGACAAGCCCTGAATGTTTGCTGTAGTTGAGCTCAAAGAAAATGCGAAGCAGAATGGGCAATGGCGTGAGCATTCCTCTTGAGGCTGTTCAAACAGAGTACCTTAAAATGAATCAAAGGCTACCTCGTGTCACCTGTTTGGTGGGAAAAAATCCACTGCCAAACCAAAGAAGTGTGATGCAAGCATAACGCTAGATCATGTAAACAGGATACATTTTTACTTCCGTTAATTTAATGACTAAAATTCGATCTGGCCCGATTCCACCCGTATTGACAATTGTTGTGATTTACACTTGTTTGATTACTCTCGGAAAGTGCGCATCATATGATTTCTTATGTTACGGTTCCATTTAGTTTTTTGGGACTTCAGTATGTACCACCGTTTATTAAAAGGGTTAAAACAGATTGTCACACAGTTTCGAATTCCATGTCGTTTACGCGGCTCTGTATCCACGTGACCAAAGCCACGTGGACACGAGGTAAAAAATGAATTTTACAAATTTTCTTATTGTTTCTGCATTGATTACATAACAGGAATCCACACTTTTTCACTTGATGTGTATGTAATCTATCCTAACTATGTTCAACTTGTAAATGTTGAATTTTTATTCTTAAAAATTGTTGTTGTGAGACTGCACAGTTTATTCGCTGTGCTCTTGGGCAAAACAATTATGTTAGTGTTCCTATTATGTCACGTTATAGGAGAGACTGTTGACAAGGATGTCTCTATTTGAAAGCACTGTTCATCTTGATACCAAGTTCTAGTTTTTTCGCTGCACCCATAGTTAAAGATAGTTTCGCAAAAATATGGGTTCTAGGTTTTTATTTGGACTCGGGCAAAAGAGCCACGGCCATTTCAGCCTATGCATCACATTTAACCAGAGAAAATGTTCTTCCCATTTTTGACTGCAATACCAGGAAGAACTCCATAATGATCTCTGTCACAGATTTGCGCACTTTTTATCATTAAAATATGTTGTGTCAAAATAAAACTTTTATAAAACTTTTTTTAAAAAGTGCGCGAGTGCTCATAAAAAGAAAGTAGAAAAAGAGCATTGTACAAATTTCATGGAAGTTGACCCCATGGCTTATGGATTGATATCATTATCCGAGTTCAGTGGCTCACAGCCGCTATGATTTTTATCGGTTGCAGGCCGCAGTTTGAATAATGATACCGAACCAATTTGAATGATATGGGAGTGCTTCAGTAATAACCATTAAGTCTTCTACGATGGAAGAGAAATGAATTAGTCGCAGTCGAAGCTTGGCTCGATTTCCAGCCGTTTTGGGAGTGCGGTTGTTTTGGTGTGGGGCAAGGAACGCGGGCTCACAAAACGGCTGGAAATTGAGCCTAAGTCGAAGCAAACCGACTTGATTATCGCTCATAGCAAACGAAGACATTGTGAAATTAAGACACTTTTAGAGGTAACAGTGACAAACCATAAGTCATTCTGCCACGTTAGTTTCTATATTCATTTAGTAATTTGTTTGCGAGTCTAAAAAAGGTAACAAGGAAGTAATCGGAAAAGGGGGAAGCGGGAGAACCTTAAACAAACATTCAAGCTTTGGCGTAAAAACGATCTTCCTTAAAATGTGTTCAGGAAGTTGTTACTTAATTCAAATTAATCTCATTCGTGCCGCCGAAGCACGTTTCTTGTAAATGGGCTTTGGCAACCATTTCTTTTTTTTTTTCATTAAAAACTAAAATTAGATGTTCATTTCTCATTCTTCATTGTTGTTTGAAAGCGCGCGTGATAAAAATACCTGTAAGAGTCAACGAATCTCTGCAGCATCGATGTCACAAAGCAAGATAGTCAACAGATTAAGAACATGTTGAATTTAGACATCATGAGGACGCACTACTTGATGGAGTTGGCAAGTAGCGTGATTTGCTTGTAGCGCCCACAAAATTTCGCTTTTCTCCTCATATACTATCTGAAATTCTCTTTGGTGGTTGTTTTCAAGAAGTTTATTGTACAGAGATGAAAAATTCCCGTCCTTCCCCTGAAGTTTAGCGCTTGAATATTATTATTTGACTAGTAGTAATCGTAGATTTAAGAGTGCGTTCGAGTGCTAGTAGGTTTGGTATGTTAAAAAAGCAAAAATTCTAGGAACAGCATTTTGAGCCTGAGCTGTTAGGTAGACGTGAAATTGGCCTCACTCCAGCAGGGGCGAAAACAAATGAATGGATCACAAAGCACGTGCATACGAGAGGGTTTGTTCTCATTTATACATGTATTGCGTAATAGTTACGACCGGTCAGCATAAAACACGGACTGCAGTCGGTAGGCCGCATTTCGTCCGCAGTCCACAGTCTAGAGTCCCCAGTCCCCAGTCCCCAGTACGCAGTCCATGTTTTACACTGACCAGAACCCAACGATTCTGGACCGTGTAAATCGACACAAACGTTGCCTGTTCCGCCGGTATGTGAGACGACGTGCTTTTATTACCAAAACTAGGGCAGTTATTCTGTTTACGAACACGACTTTGAATCGCCTTGGCTTTTGGGGAACAGCTATTGGAAACTGCTATTGATCATTTTCACTTCCGAAACAATGAAACGGAGGACATGTTGGTGTACGTACTAAAGTAATCATGTGAGGGTTGAACTCTTTTCCTTTGTAAACACTTTCGTTGGGTTTATGTTACATATTTTGCGCACAGAAATCTAGGCCAGCGAAGCGAAACTTCACATTTCCTCCTTTGATTTATTCAGCAGAAAGCAGCGTCGGTTTTGGTCGAGGAGAAGAGGGTACACAAAACGCAGCCAGACTACAGCTTTCTGTTCGTTCGAAAAGTCGTACACATTTCGTGAAGATATGTTTGCAAGGTTTTTAAATGCCACTAACACTAACTTCAAACTTTAAATAAACAACTTATCCGCTACAGTCCACAATAAATTGCCTCGACACTCGAAAGTCCGCAATATTGCAAACTACTAGAAAGAAAGCACATGGGCGAACACGGAGATGACGTCATTCGCTCCTGAAGAATTTTTTGGAGAGGGAGGCCAAATTGGTGTTCATAGAAAGATAGATGTACACAAAAACTTGATTACCCGATTAGAACTGCGTTCTCTCAAACACAACAACTGGTCGAAAAACTAGAGAGAAATCAACCGTCAATTTTCTTTCAAGATGAAAAGAAAACCCTAACGCAAACACAAAAAAGGTGGCAGCTTGGGCGCGTAATTAATTGTAGTGTCAAGTGGATTTATGGAGGTCTTAAGAAGAGTAAAGAACAATGAATCATAAATAAATGCTCAATGCTTGAAGACCTCTTTGTATTCTGCTAAATGCGAAATACTAAGGCCCTGAAACAAGCTTATTCTGACGACTCAAAGGACTATATCCAAGGTCCGGCGGGAAAACGTTTTATGACCATCGTAGAGAAGTAGAGAAGTTTTAGTAAAGGCCCCATGAACAAACATGACCCTACGTATGTCCGCATACTAAACTGACCGCATGACATGGCATTCTCGTATAGGACAGCTCAGTCACGGTGTATCGGATTTAACTCAGACGGTTAAAAGTGAAACATTTACCTCTAAAGCAGTCGAGGAGGGTCACAAGTAAGATGTTTTCTGCGCCGAAAACTGATGTAAAAGAGTTGTATGTGAACTGGAATCCCGGGAGTGGAATCAGTCTCTAGATAAAATAAATTACCTTCTGCTGTGTCTCTGTGTGTACCCCGGTAACTGCAAATCGCTAATGAAATACGTCCATCTACTTAACATTGATAACATTTCAGGTCAGAACTTGCGTGTTTGTTAAATGTTTGCCCTATATGTATCTCACACAGTACACCATGGAAGTTTCTATTTTTTGATGAATGAGCAGACACATTGATTGTCATAAAGCGATGACATCTATGAAGATCAGAGCATAGTATGTTGTCTTTAAATTACACTACAAGACGAAACATGTTTGTTACTTAGCTCAGTTCAGAGCTTGTATGATTTCCTTTCAAAAGATTATACAAATTTGTAAAATGACTGCGAGCAGTGTTTAAACGTTTGGCTTGGAGCCTAAACCAAGCCCAGTTGATCCGATTAGATCTAGAAGCTGCGAACAAAACATTCATGAATTGTTTCATGTGCAAAAGGAAAGTGCATCATCAGCAAAATATTTAAGATTACATTGATCTCATTTGGATTTTTTTTTTGCAAAATAATCCCCGTTGGCTGACGCAAATCGCAACCTTTTAGTTTCGCTGACCTCGCTGACAAAGCGAATACCAACAAAGACGTCATCTATGGGATGAAATTTTAGCAATTGAATCCACACATGTAGGATAATCATGATAACTGCTAGAAAAGCAGATAAAGCACATAAAAAGTAAACATTTACCTAACAGCTTTAAAAACGATAGCAAAGCGTTATGATTATATTCTTAGAACTTCCGTCATTGGAGTGTTTCTTGTTTATTCTTTGTGATTCTTTTTTCTTCGGCACGACTATTCGGAAACTGAACTGAAACTCTGCAAATTACAAGGTTCGTATTGATTAGAGATTGACAATTATCTTTGGCCAAACGCAGATGAAATATTAACATTTTTTTTTCATAAATCAAAATATGCATATTACCAACTATATCTTAAACTGTTCTACATCGTTGAGAACAGAGGAAAGCCCTGTTATAGAAGGGCATCTGTTCTGCGAGGCGGAGAGCAAGGGTTTAAGACATTACCAACAAATTGAGTTTGAATCACCTAAAAAGCCCGCTATACATGTTCCTGCACCACTTGCCCTGTCACACTGGTGGCAACTGAGAAGAGGGACCTAATTGCTCAGGTGACAACTCTCCAAATATTTTTTTCCCACAAGTCGTGCCAAAAAAAAGAAAATTAGCAGGATTCTTATGGAGGTCTTACGAAGGGTAAATAATCTCGTGAACGTAAATAAATACTCAAGGCTTAAAGACCTTCTTGTACTCTGCAAAGTGCGAAATGCTYAGGCTRTCGATCAAACAAGTCTYTTCTGACGACTGTCAGTCTGACGTGGTAAAAACCAGGCTTTAAGGTTCAAATTACTTAATTTACTAAAGTGTTATTATAAGTTACCTTTATTATCTTTGTTGAGGCAAGAAAATGTTGCATGTTTTTGCAATAGCTTCTGCATTTTTTTACGGAATTCATGGAATTCAAAATTTCGCGTTAAAATTAAATTTAGAGTGTTGCACGATATAGGTATTAGTCTGACGAAGCTAAAAATATTTATTTCTGGGAATAGAAAATGAAAACATACTGATCATTTTTCTCAAAACATCTAAAATTATATCGAGCAGTGGTTGAAAATATCACGCTACCAAGAATTATTGAGAAGTTCAGAAGGGAACTTTTCTTGGTTTCGTAAATGTCTATTGAAAGCGAATTTCCACGATAACCAATGTTTTTTGCAGCTAGGATAAAAAACAAATAGTATAGAAATAGTTTAAGGTGGTTGGTCACAGTTTCCAGCACTTTCCAGCAGTTATATTTTGACGGGTTAATAACCTCACATTTTATCAAGTGATATTACAACACTGATATCACACAAAAATGCCCAATCATTGGTCAACAAGTTGTGGTCATTCTCAAGGTATAATACGTTACCATAGGAACTATTCAACCTGTTAAAAAAGAACCCTTAGCTTCAAGCGCTTATGGTCCAAAACCAAGAGAACACAAATGGATACAACTTTTGGCGTAGTTTTAAAAAAATTCTGTGTGTAGGGTTCAGAGCCTCCTTAAATTTTCGAAAGTTTGAATTGTCTCTGATTCCTACCTATATATATATTTTTTTCAAAAAAAAAAAAACTTTGCAAAACGTTGTATCTTAATCTGGGTTTCACCGAGACGTTTTTGAATTAAAAGCACTTAATGCTAAAATTATGGGTGTTTTCAACTGGTTGCATCATTGCCAAGGTAAGCTATTATGCTATGAAGACGACCACACTTGTTCACCAACGATTGGGCATTTGTGTTGTTCCAATATTGTAACATCAGTCGATAAAGAAATGAAGTAGTATTGATCCGTGGAAGTGCTGGAGACTCAGTCTGTTGCCAGTCATCTATAAACAAGGGGATATAGCTATATCAACAAAATTGGAAAAACAAAATAATGATATTCGACTATCCATGCTTATATCTGAACCTCTTGCTAACCTAAAATGGTAATGCCCTGTCAGCTAAAACGAGAATGGCCAAAGAGCGAAATGACAAGTGCATCTTGTAGGGTCTATTTTTAAGGACTGAGTTTTGTAATGTGCAATATCTATGCCTCAGGTAGAGATATGACAAAGCTATCATTAGCCTGAAGTGGCTTCCGCGTGCCACAGAGCTGAAACGGGCTTATATAAAGGCGGTTGTCATTTCGACCACACTGCCGTGACTGGGAGTCGCCGAAGCACTTGGCAAGCCTTTAGAAAGTCAACAGGAATCAATTTCTTAAGGTATGACAGTGAAGTGTTTTCGCTAAACTGAACTGTGGAAAACATATTTCTTGTTAAAAATTATTTGAACTGGATACATTCATAAGGCTATAGTATTTTTAAAATAAGTGCTCAGTTTAGGCATGAACAAATGCAATGAAGCGAAAGAAATGTAGTGCTGAAAAGTTCTCCAAAATGAAGCTATAATTTGCTATCTGCTTTTAGAAAAACATGCGGAACGGATAACTAACTGACCAAGAAGTGAAGAAAGGACCGTTCTTTAAATGCAATCTTCAAAAGCCTGGAAAAGTGATTCTAGTTACCATTACAACAGGAGCTTCAGAACAAGAAATATTGGTCTTCTCCGTTTCCTTACCAGAGAAATGAATTGAAAACACTACACCAGAAAATTCTGAGAGCTCAAGGTCTTTACTGCTTTCAGTAAATGGCTTGACAAGCAAACTCCTCTGGGAACATAAGTTAGTCATCGAATATATCTTATCAAAGCCAAAAATATCAAAACGGAAAAACAACGGAGGAATAGGCTTCTGAGAGTTGCACAGGTCAGCACATTTTAGATGTCTTTGGTTATTTATTATGATTATCATTTTTCGTCGCAATATGGAGAGACGAATACTCAACAGATTCAGCTGAACAATTAATTTAATTCAGTTTCAACTAAACGTAGATTTTGAAATGAAGAGTTCAGTGTTCAACAATAGTTAATAGAGGAGAATGGTTATGAAACTCGACCGTGCACAAAACGCAATAGTTGTTTACTACTGACCGAGGACCTAACCAATAGAGACGTTTGGGTTACGTAACTAAAGCATAGTGTACGAACGGAAGACAAAAGATTATGCACGGTCGTGGACCTTCCAACATAAATCTTGGCATTTTCGTTTGCTTCTTTGATGTTTGCCAGGCTTCATAACCATTCCCCTCTGTTAACTGTGGTTCCACGCATGCAAGACAACTTTATTCAGAACTGATAGCACAGCAATGACATCGCGTGCCAAAGCTGCAGTATCGCAGCCAACAAGAGGTCACTGATGACGCCTTCAGTTAAAGATGAATAAATAATTTTAAAGGAACCTCTTCCTGTCACGAGTCTCTAATGCAAGGACTGGATGAAAGTTGGAACTATTACATCAAAATGGATCAGTGAATACAACTTGTGGGATACTTTAATTTTCCTTTCCTTTTAATGTCGCTCCAATAAATTGCTAAGCTCAAGACCATCTTGGTCTGTTTTCGAAGTTATGTTAGGTTCTGACGGTAATGATCGTTCCTTGCGGTCCAGACATACATACATCTGCATGTATCTTTTCTCCGCGTAAGAAATTCTGTGCTGATAGTCATCGAAGGTCAAATGTTCAAATGGACTGCCGTCTTAAGAAAAGATAATAACAAATAACTATCAAAGTCTTGTAAGTAACAAACGAAACGGCGCGTCTCTAGGAAACCCTGATTCACATGAAAAATAATTATATACAAATCCCTCAGTGAATTAAAATGAACAAAAAAAATCCTCAGATTGATATTCTCGTGCCAACATAGCTAATAGTAGTAGAGAGGAATGGATATGAAACTCGACAAAGTTCTTTGTTCAGTATGTGATTGGAATGTTCTCTTTTTTGGCCTTGACCGTGCACAAAGCACAATACCTTCTTACTGTGTGCCATTATTTATGGGTCAAAGTTCTTTAGTCGGCGAAATTATCAGTGGAGAAATAAAGATAGCAATTTCATATGGACTTCTCGGTTAATAAGGTATCTTATCTCTTTGCACACATGTTATTAACAATATACATATTCCTTAACATTACACTGCACTGAGTTTACACGATTGAACGTAAAGGATAACACAGAACTCTGTAATTAGCGTTACTTCCTTTTTACCTAAGCAATTGTTTACATAAGAGTCAGAACATTTTATTAAAAACACCAGTAATTAAAAGATAAAATTTACCGCTGGCTCTGCTGCTGATACAAAACTAACCAATTTCGAAACAAGGACAAGAAGCAACAGCAGCGGCAGCAACAACAACAACAACAAACAGCAATTCTTTTTCTATCGTCCCTTCTACGGAGACTCAAGTTGATATCGTAATGATTTCACGAAGGGCTCAGCAATTAGAGCCGTCCAATTCCGGCTACTGTATGGTAAAATTGACCAACCCGACACTGAATTGCTAGAGTTCTGTCATAACGCTGGAACACAAACTACGTGAAAAGATAGCAGTGGGTATATATTTTACTCCATCGTTAAATATACTGACCTTACAAGTCCCACATCATTGCAGACAATTTATTTGTGGAATCACGGTGGAAACTTCGATTGCGCAATCGATTGTTCCAAACAACATCACAAACAAGACAAACAACGAGATTTGTCAAAGCGTAGTTGTGATAATTCCTCGTAATGCGAGGACCGGCAAGAGTTACCCAGTATCACATATTGTGGGGCAGATTTTCGAACAATATTTAGCATAAAGTTATTTAATGAGTTGCTATAAGCAGAGTTGCCGGCCTCAAGAGAGTAAACTAAGGTACAGTGTTGAGGCTACCGTAAGAACAGTAGGCTATGATTGTCTGACAACTTGCAGCATCATGCATTCGAAAGAAAACACGCAGTTTTGGCGAACATACTGCCAATCGCCGCTAGACGCAGGTTGAAGTAGACAATTAGTACTGCTGAAACTGCGATCATTGAAAGTAAAGAGAAGCCATATTTAACAGAGCTTCTACACAAAGTTCTGCTAAAAATATCCCACCAGAAACATCTCAGAAAAATCTGACTTGTTCAACTGCTTTCGATATATAATTTGACCTTTTAATTTGCAGTGTTAGCAAACATTACAATGATGAGCTGGCAAATTTCTCTCTCAACAAATATTGATTGTCAGCAAATTTTGCCCGAGACAAGTTTTCCTCTTCCGTGTTTCACTATTAAAAAGAAAACCGAATGGTATCCGGATAATTTTAACTTAGAGCCTAGAGAATCTCTTTCTTTTCATAGTTCTTTAAGGAAGCGAGGCACAATGAGTGTTCCTCACGGTTTTTTGGGTGTTGATTTATATAGGTTTTATATGTGCAAGCCATAAAGCAGTTTGTTCACTGTCTGTTGTAGGTTCAACTCACAAACGTGGATTTGCTCAGAAAGGCTCCCTGTTGAATTGTAGAGTTGGCGAATGAGAACAACTAACAGCAAGTTAAAAACTTCATTGTTTTAGTTCAGAAACCCGACAAAAAGTATTGATATAATTGTGATTGTTTGTTTCATAAAATATAACTTTGATACACATATCTGCTTCATCATAATCCTCTGCGACTGTACAAAATATGCTTATTTCAGGGTCAGACCACAAAGGTACCCGGAATCACTTCATCTTCAACTCTCCGGTCACGGAAGCGCTTTTTCCTTTCTAAAAATCTCATTTGCTTTGCTTCAGCCAAAGTCATGTGAATTACAAACTGACATAGTGGGTGCGTGATAAGCATTATTTAAGTTCGGTGCTGAAACGGAACTCATTTTGAAAGAGTTCTGGTTTCCTAGCTTTCTTTTGTTCTTCTTAAACGAATTCTTCAATTACGTATATACTTTGCTTACCCAGACCAAAAACCTCTCAAACAAAGTTCCTTAAACCGACAATTGTTATAAGACCCATTTGTAATTACTACCGGAATAGGGAACTTTTCAATACGCCATCTAAAAACGCAGATAGTCCTTATAGATTTAAACGGTGATTTTTATGGGGGGGGGGGGGGGGGGGGGGGG